AAATTAAAATGAATAATAACAAAAAATATATATTGATGTTACCCAATAGAAATAATAAACAAAATAAAACTAAGTACTTTAAAATGTATTTATAAAAAAGCAAGGAATATTTTAACAAATATTGAAATAAAATATATATTTCAGTACCTTAATATTGTGTGTGTGTGTGTGTGTGTATGTATATGTGTGTATATATATATATATATATATATATTTAAATTCACTTTTAAAATATAAGTTTTATTTACTTTTAATTTGTTAGATATATATAACACATGAAATTTTAATATTTTATATTAGTATGTATGTATGTGTGTGTGTGTGTGTGTGTGTGTGTATATATATTCGCTGATATTTATATTATATTATATACAAAATTGTGTTTTTTATTTATTATACACAATAAAATTTTTACACAACAGAAATATATTGATTTATTTAATTTCAATTTGTGTTTTTTACTTGTTTCACTAATATCAGTGTGTGTATGACAATATTTTACATTTCGATAATTACAAATAATTTCAGTAGTTGCATTTCAATAACTAATTTACAAATATATGATTAATAGCATATTCCCTGATTTTATTTATATATATATATATATATATGTATGTGTGTATTTTATATGGTTTGTTTATATTATCATTATTCAGTAATGTGTGTGTGTATATGTATCACTTTTTTTCTTTCACTTAGATGATAGAGTCCATAGGTGTGTAGTATAGTTTATCTGCATGGTTAGTCACTTCATTTGGTTCATTAAGAATTACGCTGGATTATTTGCGAAATCATCTGCATTATTGGTGGAATTAGCATGATTATTTAGAGGGTTAGCCGGGTTTGAAGGAGGATTAGCGGGTCCACTCTCTGATTCTGGTTCTCCAGATGGGACCATTGTACCGCGCCAGGCATCAATAATGCACAGGGAGCGGGGCGAAAGAGTCTGTGACGTTCTGTCTTCAATAATTCACCAGTCAGTGGGGGACGTATGGGCCCGCCTGTTTCTTTTTCCAAACATCACCCCGTCGTGTTTTTTTTTGAGAGGGCGCGATGAAGGGGGTGGAGGTGTCGGATGGTGGTCCGTTTATAAAGATGTCACACACCTCCCCTTTGGCCTATTCTTCATCTTGTAATCCTGTTTGAGAGTGTGATGTGCTTGTATGTGTTACAAGACGCCCCATGTAAGTGTGTGAGTTGGAATTGAGACCATTGGGATGCCCAAATGTGAGTTTTTGGGCCGATAATTTTACTTTTTGAAGTTTTAACCTGTTCTAGCTTGATAAATAGATAGTTAATTAAAACCAATTCCTAAAATAATCTGAGAATAAGATGAATTTTGGACCATACCTTTTGTTGCTTAGTGGAACATACATCATCAATTAAGTTCTTAATGGGATTCGGTATTTATTCTGAAAGTATTGGAATTCAAAAGCAGTGAAATGTGCATATCTAGCTTTAATACATCCCAATGGCTCCTGTTTGAGTGTGTATATATGTGTTGGTAATGAGATTTATAGGATTGAGATGGTAATTAGATGTTGAGTCAGCTCTCACATTGCATTTCCTGCCTGATAAGCAATGCGTGAACACTGACATCAGTGGATTGTCTCTCTTTTCTCAGTTATCTCTGTTTCTCACCATTCTCTCTCTGTCTTTCACTGTCTGCATCACTCGCTCGCTCTGCGCCGACATAGATATGAAAGATCTGACCGAGCTGCCATGGCCTCCTCTGGTCGGACAGCTGGAGGAGGAGCCCATCTGTGGCGAGCAAGGTGAACTTTAACCCCTTCTCCCCACTGCTGCCCCTCCAGTATCCTGCATCTGTCCAGCTCGCTGATTCACTATTTTGCTAGAAACCTCCCGTTTACTTCCCATATGATTTAAATCACTCCCACTCAGTGCTGCTCTCATCACAGTAGCATGTGATGACTGCATGAGGTCAGTTCTGTCTTCCAGTTATGTTTTCACTAGGGATGACACCATATTACAATTCGAGCTGATATCAGTGTTGTTATTAACTAAAACTATGAAAAATTGTTTTCGTTGTCAGCACCGATAGCCTTGTGGTTAGTGCGCCGACATGAGTTCCTGAGTTCGATTCCCGTCTCGAGGTCCTTTGCCGATCCTGCTCCCCTCTCTCCACCCAATGCTTTACTGTCAGCTCTCCACCTGTCTCATTAAAAAAAGGCATAAAAAGTCCATAAATATAACTTTAAAAAAATATTTCCGTTAACTGAAATAAAACTGAAGCAAACTGATATAAATTTTTGATTAAAATTTTTAACTTAAACAAAAATTAAAACAGAAGTTTAAGTTGTAACAATATTACTAAAGCTAAAATGAAATAAATAATTAAGCTTAAAGGGGTCATATGATGCAATTTAAATTTTTCCTTTCTCTTTGAAGTGTTACAAGCTCTTGGTGCATAAAGATCTGTAAAGTTGCAAAGACTAAAGTCTCAAATCCAAAGAGATATTCTTTATAAAAGTTAAGTCAACCACTCCCTCCTAAAACGGCTCGTTTAAACGCGCCCCCCACATATCTGTCACGATGTGGGAAGATTTGCATAACGCCGCCCAAATGTTCACGCAAAGAAAGAAGGCGTAACTTTTATTATCGCTGTAGTATTGTTGTTGCCGCCATGTCGTGAAGGCGCTGTGTGTTTCGTTGTGAAAGCGAAACTACTTTGTTTGGTCTTCCAAAAGAGGACGATATCTGCTTCGTCGCGAAACTACTTTGTTTGGCCTTCCAAAAGAGGACATGACTAGAAATCAGGGGTTAAGTTGTATTTACAACACTGTTCCAGAACAGTTCAACCCAAATATTCAGATGTGTGCAGCTCATTTTATGGAGGACTGTTTCCTGATCCTGGGAGAGTAGACTACAATGCGGCTGTTCTGACTCACAGACTGCAAGTACGCTTTTTATATATAAAGAATTTGCCACTGACGATTCAAATGAGAGTTTTCAACAGTGTAGAGTAGCGCTTGTTGTTTGTCATTTCTCAGATCACAAAATTGAAATAGTCTGAAAATAAAAAAATAAAAGCTAATTCGAAATATCAATAAATATCATAACATATATAAATGACACTAAAATAACACTAGCCGATACAGATATGGCGATAATTATTTCCTTTTTGTGATTGATCACCTATAAATGGCGGATATTGTAATTATAAAAGACTAAAAACTAAAATCAATAATTTTAAATGCAAATTTACAAGTGAATTTAGCCATCGCAACTTTATAATGTACAGTATGAAAAAAAATTAGAACAGTATTTTTTGAGATTAACTTCAAATGACCGTTAGATGACAGCAAAAATAATCTTTAGGGATGCGTGATATTGGATTTTTGCCGATATGTTTCAACTCATTTTGTCCGATACTGATATATTTCCTTTGGTTTGGAAACAACACCTAGTCTCTCCTGTGCAGAGATTATAAGCAAATTATTTTTAATTTTGGTTAGTTTTGTTAGAACTGAATAAACGATAATAAAGTTCTTTTTATAATGAGCGTACGTTTGAAACATTTGAAAATAACTATAAAAAAATCACTAGCAAACTAAATCTAAAGCAAACAAGCTTATGTTTTCTTATGTTTTCATAATCCGTTAAAAAATATATTACACATTAATGAATAAATCTTTATATACTGTATAAAATTATTTAATTTACAAGTCTCATGTTTGTGATTTTTGTATTCATGCAAGCAATAACTTCTGACCTTTAAATCAAAGCAGACTCGTGATTTTATGACATAAATTACAGCTTTATTTATTCAGAAACTCAATGTTAATGTTATTTGTGTATTTTACTTTTATTTTTATTACAAGTTGGCCTACAGCGCCCCGCCCCCTAAATAAATAAAAGGCCTTAAAAACCAGGCATTAGGACCCAGGGGAGGCTGCTGCTGCTGAAAGTGCTAGTAAAGGTTTACTCTATTGTACAACTGACAGGTCATTCTGTACTTGCATTCTCAGATTAAATGCGGTGAATCAAAATTAAGTGAATCTAATCATCATTCAGGCAAAAGTTTGCTTTAAGAATGACCATACTGCTGATGTGATCTTATCGCTAGCACACTTTGAGCACATGTTATTCGTCTTCCCGGCAAGGCATATCAGCATAATTTTTCATATCTATTCCGATAACGTTCTAATAATATAGTGCATCCCTGCTAAATGTAAAAACACAAGAAATGAGTATGTAGAATTAAATATCCACCCTACCGATAAATAAAAAAATACTGGCAGATAACCAATTAGGTACAGATAAATTGTGCATCCCTAGTGTCCACACTTGACAGCACACTTGAATTAGGTGTGGCAACGATAATGTAAAAATGTGAGAAATGAGCATGCAGAAATAAATACCTATCTACCGATAAATCTACCAATACATTTAAAAATATCAGTTGATAACTGATAAGGTGCTGAAAACTTATGCATCCCTAGTTTTCACACTCGGTTTGATACTTGAGTTTGATTTCACCCCTCCTCTGGATCAGCAGGTCTTTATTCACATTATGTTATTTGGCTCTGAACCCTAGTACGTTTGTGTTATAAATGTGCCACCTTAATTTCCTACAACCCTCCTGTTTTGTTACTCTTTGCTGTTCTGGTTTAGACTACTCCTGCTGTGTTAACTGTCCTAACCAGGCGTGATGTGACAAACATATCTGGTGTTTAATATCAGATTTATGAAACAGGATTTTCGACTGATGACATTTCACAATAGGTGGCTCAACCCCGTGCAACAAGATAGAAACCAATTGTCAGCTTTATTCACATTATGCCACAAACTATTCATCATGTGAACCTTAAATCTGAGATGATCATGATCGAGTTTTATTGTTTTGTCATGTCATTCCTAGTTATTACACAATGTTATAAAACCTACAATTTTTTTTTTTCAAACAACTTTTTCAGTCACTTTTCTACTGCTGTTTGACATTGAATTAAGTCTTTTTCTCTCTCACTGTGCCCATGCAGTGCAGTTTGAGGGTGCTGAGTGGGACCGTTCCTGTTCTCCCACAGAGCGCCTGAGGTGTTCCAGGCCTCTGCCAACCACAGGCAGCATGAAGCTACGCAAGCCCAACGATCCTCATTCCATGATCGGAGAGAGAGTGGATCCCACCCTGCCCCTGGAGAAACAAGTGTACGTCCAACACGCACCACAAACCATTTAGAGGTTTGAAGAAAAAATTAAGAGAGGCACAGAGACTGCTAAGCTAAAAATACCGCAATTAGAATGCTATCCCATAATACATCTTGTGGCCTCAACATTGAAATTCTGTCATCAGTTACTCACCCTCATGTTGTCCCAGACCTGATTGTACTTTCTTTTTGTGGAACGCAAAAGAAGATATTTTGTAGAATGTTGCAACTGTACAGTTAAAGTCAATGGGGTCCAAAACATCAAGATATTTGTTTTCTTTTGTGTTTCACAGACAAAAGAAAAAGTCATACAGGTTTGGAACGACATGAGGGGGAGTTAATGGTGACAGAAATTACATTTTTTTTAAATTTCAAGGCACTTGATGCTCTCACTGCGACGTCTCGTACCTTTGGGAATGCCAGCCTAGTGTGTTATTATTTTAGTGCTATGAGAATATGATTTATGGGGGCGGTGTGCATGGTTAAGCCATTAGAAAGCACAGTCAAGTGCGTCCAAAATATTGCTGCAAATTAGTCAGCTGTTCAGGAAACAAAATTCCCCAGACACATCAGACGGCAGCTGGGGTCTCACAGGGGAACATGCCACGACAGTCACAAACACGCTCACTCACAAAATATTTACAGGTGTCATATTCAACACATTTGAAGTATGATTTAGTATGATTAAACAGTTGATTTAGTTTTTTAGGAACATTTTCTATCCTCTTTGATCCTTAGAATTAAATTAGCTCTTTTTGTTACTGTACCTTTAACACTTATGGGTTAATGACTTTTGTTATGATTTGCTGACCTCTTTCTTTGCATGCATGCTGTCTTTCAGATGGTATCACGGTGCTCTCTCGCGCTCAGAGGCCGAGTCTCTGCTGACCCTCTGTAAGGAGTGCAGTTATTTGGTACGAAACAGCGAGACCAGTCGCTTGGACTACTCTCTCTCTCTGAGGTACAGCACTGCACCTCTTCCACCATCCACCGTAGCAACATTTTATTTCTCCATTCCCTCCATTACCATTAAATGAAGTGAGCAAATCTCATCCCCATTACACCATTTCAGCTAATTGCCTTGTGTTTTGCTTCATTTGTGTCTAGTTGTCTGTATCTTAGTTGTCTTTGTTCATCATTCTGACCTACAATTTTTTTCCACCCCTCAGTAGAGTTAGTCTTTTCAAAGAAAATAAAATATTGCTTAATATAATATAATAATAATAATATAATGTAATGTAATATGTTTTTAATTATATTGTGCATTTTATGTGTATGCATATCTTACATCTATTTACTTTATTTTATATAATAAATATAATATTTTATATAATAATATAATGTTTTATTATATTAATTGTAATTAAATGTAATTGCATTGTGCATTTTAGATATTTATATCTTACATTTATTTCCTTTTCTATTTTAACAATTATTTTATTATATATATATATATATAATTTAGTGTATTTTATAGATGTATATCCTACATTAAGTTCCTCAATTTTTATATAATATAATATAATAAAATATAATGTTTTCATATTATAAATGTTAAACGGTATTAATAATTATCTATTTGATCTCACTGTTTGATCTCATATTTCAACATATTTGCTGTACTATGGTTTTACTGTTATCATACTGAATATTTTCTCATTATTGTGTTTTTTTCTTTCTTGCCTCCTTGGACAAAACGGCCCTGTCTCATTTGCACACTGATGTGCTTTTCGATAGGTTATCAGCTCGAGCGATTGTGCTTATCTGGTCAAATCTCACAGTTCTAATTACCGTCTTGATCCAGAACCCCTGATCCCGCTCCTCTTTCTTCTTTTTCTTTTATTCTTCCCGAGCAGTAATCAGGCAGGTGAACAGCCCTTCAGTTCACAAAGCTTCTCCTGGCGGCGTTAATGAATATGAATGACCTGCAGAAAGCTGCAGGCACAAGCGGGAGGCCTTTCGCACACCTGAACGCACTCAGTAATCACACACGCCTAGTATTGCAAGCACACTTTATAAGTCACAGGCAAGAACACTCCAGAACACGTTCAGCAACATGCTGAGACTTTGTTCACATGAAATCTGATTTTTACAAGCCTGATTCAAACCGCATTCATACGACAACAGTGGGAATGAATGAACGATGCTGTCTGATGTCATAATGTGGGACGCCTACAGCCTCAGAAGTCTGAACCAAATCAAAGTGACAGCGGCTCAACGTCGAGAGCTTTGAACGAGCCGCCAGTGAGATTCACAGGCTTTATTTTGAGCCGAGATTTTTCTATAAGTGACTCTGTTCGTCACGTACCTGGCAGATAATACCTTGTTGGAGATGACGTGCTCCTTGAGCACGTTAAGTCTTGAATTTAAATGCGCGGCTTTAACATTCGCTTGATTTTGAAAGTAGCGAGAAAGATGCTCTCAGGCTCCATGTGTTTTCATTCACACTTATTACGGTGAATGGTATAGTACAGTATGACAGCTTCAAACTAACAAATTACTTCCTGTTTCTATACATAGAAATCCAGCCTTCTGGACTGAGCCGTCTTAAAGGGGATGTCGAGAATAATATTCGCACCAGGCCATGCTGAAGTTATGATATTCTTTTACATCATCACTCAGATTGTCCTATTTATCGCTAGTAATCTTTTGTTCACAGCTGACCCAAATTCCAGATTCACAACCCCACCCAGGGATCAGGTTTTATTAAAGCTGTCAAGTCATGATAAAATAATTGGAATGTATCTGTGGTTAGTTTGTTGGCTTCTTTATTACAGATCTTTATTTCCTAAGAAAATGTAAAAAAAAAAAAAAAAATGTTAAAAAAAAAAAAAAAAAAAGAGTAGCATGCCAGTACTCTAGTTCAATGATGGTATAATACAAAGATGCCGTTTGATTGCCTTGTCATATTTATATACAATGGTCCTGTAAATTACTTTAAAAAATACCACAATAATGGCATGGTATCAGTAGTTAAAAAAAAAAAAAGAACTATTGTAAAAAAAAACTATTGTATTACCCTGATTTTTTTTTATGATAATACTTGGTTGTTGTTGTTGTTGTTGTTGTTTTTCATAGAACAAAGCAAAGTATTTTCATTTTAATCATTTGGGGGAAAGCAGGTTTATTATATATTTCATAGAACAAAGTATTTTTAAATTTAATATTATTAGATTTTGTGGAAGCATTTATTTGATTAGTCACGCTGATTGTTGTTGCATGTCAGAACAAAGCAAAGTAATTTTTAAATTATTTTATTTTGGGAAAGCATTTATTTGGTTTTGAGACATATTTAATTTGTGCATTTTATAGAACAGGTTAAAGGGGTCATATGATGTTGCTAAAAAGAACATTATTTGGTGTAATGAAATGCGTTTATGCGGTTTAAAGTAAAAAAAAAACATTATTTTCCACATACTGTACATTATTGTTTCTCCTCTATGCCCCGCCTTTCTGAAACGCGTCGATTTTTACAAAGCTC